CATACTCCTCGAGGCGCAGCTACACCCACCACCACACACATTCCCTCCGGTGCAGAGGCAGAACTGACAAACACGCAATTACTCTGCCCCGCCCGCCACCCCCGCTCCCCTCCCCCTGCCCCTTCCTCCTGCTCCCGCCCCTTCCTCCAGGCTCCCCTCCGCCACCTTGGCCACCTCTGAGCCACGCTCAGCTTTTGTCTGGAGGGAGCGGGGGCCTCACCCCCACAAGCACACCCTTCTGGGAGGTTTGGAGAACCGGAGAGCAGTGGTGATAGTGGGCAGCCAGGTCTGAGGCCTGGGGAAGCCACTGCCCTCCCTCCAAGCGAATACTCCCTGTAGAAGACCCCCCTCTAAACCGCTGGTCCTCACCACCCTGGGTGTGATGGAGTCTCCATCCAGGCAGGGCTGCGGGCAGGGCACCCTTGACTGGGTCCCCCATGGCTGTTCCGTCGGCCACCTCGAGGCGGCGCTGGCGTACCCTCAGTCTCTAGCCTCGACTCCTGGCTTCCAGGGCCTGGTCCAGCCACTTCCCCCCACCCAGCAGTCTGCCGGTACCCTAACTCTCAGCTTATGCCGCCCTCCACTTAGCCCGAGAGAGATATGCGCAGGGCGTGGGGACTCGCCAAGAACATGAAAGTTCTCCCCAGAAGAGACGGTCAGGAAGCCCATACTTCCTTCTTCCCAGGCGATGACCACCTCTTGGCCCCTGATTAAATCCTGCCCCCTTCACAGCGCCTGTTTCTCCCACTCATGTCCTCGGCCCTGGTGTCTTGCCCTCGACTCCCTCCTCCCTGCCCCCCACCCCACGCCGCGCCCCCGCCCGCCCGTACCCCTCAGAGCTCTAATCCTTCCTGCTGCTATACCGCCTTATCTGCTCCCAGCAGCTTTCGCTGCTGCAAAGCCCTCTCCCCCTCCTTCGCAGGATCTTCTCCCCCCTCCATCTCGGGCTCTCTTCTGACCAGGCCCCCAATCCAGCCTGTCTCTGCTTCTCAGGCCCCATGATGGCTACTGGAGGACACCAGATCCGCACCCCAGTGCCCTTTGCCCTCTTTGCAGCCTTAGCTCTGTGGCTGTCCACTGCCCACCCACTCGCACACTGGCCTCTTCCTACCCCAAGTCCACCTGGCAGGCCCCACAGACTGGGTCGGTGTCTTGTCCAGTCAATCTTTTTCATCATTCTTCTCCCTGTTCTTCCTTTCTCGACCCCTCCAGCGGCCTGCCCATGGATCCTGGGCCTGATCACCTTCAGTCGCAGTGACTGCTGCACGGGCTTGGGCGTCCCCGGAGGGAGATGGGGGTGCTGGTGAGAGCCACAGGAGCGGGGTGCAGAGTGCTGGTGGGCAGTGGGGGCAGGGCCTGGCGGTGGGACGCTAACCCTCTTCAGTCGCTTCAGATCACGTCTGGGCCTCCCCACCCCCCTTCGCTGGAACTCTCATTAACCGCTTCTCCTGCCTCGTCCGCGGCATAAATAACCCAGATAAATCAGCTGCCGTCCGCCCCCCGCCCCTCGGCCCCCGCACAGCCCGTTTGTCACCACTGCTCGCTCACCAGCCAGGCCTGGCCCAGTCCTGGCCTCCACACCCCCATCTTTGTCCCTTCCTGCCTACATCAGTCCCACACTAGCTCATCCCTTGATCCACACCATAGCCAGGCCTGGGACAGGTGTCAGGTCTGGGAAGGGTGGCCAGGTGTCTTCTGGGAGCAGGGGGTGGCTGGGGTCTCTCTCTAGGAGAACGCTATCTAGGAGTTTTGGGGTCATATCATTTATGAATGGGACCACCCAGGCAGGGAGCCTGGGCTGCACATGGTGAGAAGGGGCAAATTTGGCTAAGCTTGGCAGTCCCAGTGCAGGGAGAGGAGGCAAAGCTCCAAGCGCTGCGTGCAGGAAGGGCGTCAGAGGCTCCCTTGGCCCCCCAGGCTGAATACTGGGAGGTCTCCTGGTCTGCCTTTGGGGCATTTCCCCCAAATAAAATCTTCTGCACCCTGCCAGGTGCTCTGAGTCAGAACCCTCCTGCCCTCCCTCACCCTCTGCTCCCCATTCCCGTGCCTGGTCTTGTCAGGCTATACAGATGCCACTCAAAACTCCGCCTTTCAGTTCATCCACCATTCTCTTTCTGTCTAGAAGCCTAGTTCATCCCCCCAGGGAGTGGTGTGGGTAGAGAATTGGACTGGGAACAAATCTGGGGAATGGGGATAACTAGTGGGCAGAGGATGCCCGGCTAAGGCTTCACAGCCTGACCTGCAGCCCCTCCACCTCATGCCCCCACCGCATGCCCTGCAGCCACATCTCCAACCTGAGTCCAGGACAGACCCGCCCCCTTTGCTCACTTGCAGTTCAGATCCTGGCCAAGCACACTTGGCCCTGATGCTCACTGCAGGGGGCAGCTGGTCCCCTGGGAGTGGGTGGGGGAAGCAGGGAGGAGATGGGAGAGCTCGGCACAGGCTGGGGTGGGGGTGGGGAAGAAGCTGGGCCCGGCCCCAGGGACCAGCTGGGCAATGAGCCGGGGAAGCAGCCGGGAGGCTAAATGAGGGAGATTATCACCCAACTGCAGCCGGGCAGAGAGGAGGCAGGCAGGGAAGCGGGGAGAGGGAGGGGGGAAAGGATAGGGGCTGGAGGGGCAGGGGATGTAGGGAGAGGGGGGCGGGGGAAACCGAAGAACCTGGAGGAGTGGGGGGGGAAGGCCAAGGGATGGGCTGAAAGGACATGTGGGGAGCCCCACTGGGCATAAGCACATTCCTGGAGATGTGAAAGACTGGATGATCTGGACTTGGGGACAGTCAGAGACAGCTGGCTGTGGGGCAGTGGCAGGGGGGTGGGGGTGCTGCATGCACACTGATGGCTGTTCCACTTCCCTGTGGCTTAGTGCCCCCCACCTGGCAAACCGCAACCGAACTCCACTCCTCTTAGAGGTTGAGGGCTTCCTGCCATGCCCTCAGGACAGAGGGTGTGATTTGGGATCTTGATGAAGGCCAGTATGTTGGGGGAGTTGGACTCCTGGTCTGAATGGATGGCAGGGCAATTTAGGACCACACACTAAGTCCAGGGCAGCAGTGAGTGGTGGGGAGAGCTTGGGGGGCAGCTCCCTACTTTCTTGGCAGAGTCCCAGACTGAAGTAACCTTAAAAAAGCAATTAAATCACCTTAAAAAAAAAAGAACCAGTAAAGAAAAATCAATACTGGGAGAAAGGGGAAGAGAGGCTGGTGGAGGGGGAGGTAGGGTGGAAGTGCTGGAAGGGTCTCAGAGTCTAGCACAGAGGGGAGAGCCTGGGAGGGGGCTGCCTGGGCAGGGGGCTGAGAGGGGGACTTATTGTGGTCACTTGGAGTCTCTGCTAACTCAGCAACTGCTCCCAATGCCAGCCCCTTTCCCCTCTGGGATGCTTGCCAGATGCAGTCCCTGACCCCAGGGGTCTTACCTTCCCAGCTTGGGGATCTGGCTTGTGGGGAAGTCCAGCCACAGAGCCCCTGGGGAAGCTACTTTGATGAGAGGCTGGGGACAACCCCAGCAGGGCGCCAGACATGGCCAAGGCTAGGCGTGCAGCGGGCTCCCTGCTGGGGTGACGGGTGACCGCCAGGGCCTGACCTGGAATGATAGCCAGGATAGGTAGAGTGGCTCCCTGTCCCCCAGGGGAGCCATCCCTGGTCCCCTCTCCGAGGCCAGGCAGGAGCTGTGACCGGTGGGGCAGGCCTGACACAGGGGAGGGGTGGCCACTGGGCAGCGGGTGGACCTCGGGCTCTAATCCCCAGCAGCTGCTGTTTCCCTCAGATCGATTCCCTTCTCACTTTTTTTCAGCTGCTGGTTCTGTGGCTTGGATCGATGGAGCCGCCTCCCCCGCCCCTCTGAGTTTCCTCTCCTTGCTGCTCATTAGTGCCCCGATTAATCAGCACCCCGTTTCCTCTGGGGGACAAGTGCCTCATCCCCCGTGGAGGGCTCATGTTCTCACATGGGCCCCCCCGAGAGCACAGGCTGCTCACTGGGACCCCCACCCTGGGGGCACCAAGGCATCCCATCTGGTCTGCCAACAGGGGCCCCATCCCTGCCCAGGATAAGAGCCACACACCTGCTTCACCTCCCCGAGACCACAGCCACCCCAGGACTCCCCAGCCCCACTCTGCCCCGACCCTGCCTGTTTCCTTAGGATCGCAGTCCCTCCCACGCAAGCCCAGCACACTCCTGCTCCTTCCTATACCCTGATTTGGGCTCTTCCCCCCTCCATTCCACACCCTCTCCCCTCTTCATACCTCCTCTTGGCTCCCTCACCTGTTCACCCAATACCCTGTCCCCACCCCCAGCCGGGCTATAGCAATGGATTTGGGAGATGCCTGGGGAAGCAAAGAGGTCACAGATATGCAAGGCAGCCAGGGTGCCCTCTGTCCCAGATACAGGAGTGACTGAGTTGGTGGGGGCCGCCAGAGTCCCAGAGGGGGCAGGGATTGGGTGAGTGTTGAAGTTGGGAGCAAAGCTCTAGGAAAACAGAATCTTGGTGGAGCCACCCTGTTCCCTTGTCTGTTTTGCCTGCTGTTCTCCTTTGCCCTCCCCTCCCTCATTCAAACAAGTGGCTCTCCCATGGAGTTTCTGGAAGCCAGTGTGAGTGGGGTGGTGGGATCAGGTGGTGGCTGGTGCTGGAGGCAAGAGTCAGCAGGCCACAGGTGGGGGATGGAGTTGGCTGACCCTTCCTGGGCCGTGGTCCCGAAAAGTGGCAGAAGGAGCTGAGGACTCTGGGTTCAGCACTCTTACCTGGGAGGCCTGGGAGTGGGGCCATTCAGGGACCCCATGAGTGGCTACGATATATATACCAAGAGTGTGGGGGGCAGCCCATGAAAGCTCAGGAAGAGATGGGGAATCCCTGTCCTGGGCTGGGGGCTGCCCCCTCCCCTGGCCTGGCTCCTGCCGCCCATGCCGCTGGTGGAACGCTGTTGACATGTCCTGAATTATTAAGCATGGGGTGGGCTCCGGAGCACATGCTGAGCGGAGCGGCTGAGGCTGCACGGCGTGGCGGAGCAGCTCTCACTCCCTCGCTCACTCGCTCGCAGGGACACACGCAGGGGCTGACAGCTGTGCTGGTGCTGATAAGGGAAGCCACAAGGAGACGATCGAGGAGAGAGACAAGCGGCAGCAGAGGCACAGCAGAGGCAGCACCAGGGCTGCGGAGCTGCTGGGAGTGGGAGTGACTCCCCACCTCGGGCCCCCACCCTGTCCCTGTCCTCCTCCCGCTTGCCCTGAGTTTAGAAGAGCAGCCGCTGCCACCACCGCCACTCCGGAGGGCACCAGGGGTTTGCTGGCCAGGGAGGGACAGGGGCAGGGAGGCTCTGGCTGGTCCCAGAAGCCGGGGACAGATGCCGATCGAGATTGTGTGCAAAATCAAATTTGCAGAAGAGGATGCGAAACCCAAGGAGAAAGAGGCAGGGGATGAGCAGAGCCTCCTGGGGGCTGCGCGGGGGACAGCAGCCCCCCGGGACCTGGCCACCTTTGCGAGCACCAGCACTCTGCACGGGCTGGGCAGGGCCTGTGGCCCAGGCCCCCATGGACTTCGCAGAACCCTTTGGGCACTGGCCCTACTCACCTCACTGGCCACCTTCCTGTACCAGGCAGCCGGCCTGGCCCAGGGCTACCTGACCCGGCCTCACCTGGTGGCAATGGACCCTGCTGCCCCAGCCCCAGTGGCTGGCTTCCCAGCTGTCACCCTCTGCAACATCAACCGTTTCCGGCATTCAGCACTCAGCGACGCCGACATCTTCCACCTGGCCAATCTGACAGGGCTGCCCCCCAAAGACCGGGATGGGCACCGTGCCGCTGGCCTTCGCTACCCGGAGCCAGACATGGTAGACATCCTCAACCGCACTGGCCACCAGCTTGCTGACATGCTCAAGAGCTGCAACTTCAGTGGGCATCACTGCTCCGCCAGCAACTTCTCTGTGGTGAGTGCTGCCAGCTGGCCTGCCGGGCCTGGGGGTGGCCAGGAGCTGCTGGGGGCGGGGGCAGTGGTGTGCAGGGGCATCCTCAACAGAGCTTCCCTCCCTTCCTTCCACCACCAGAGGTTGGCCTTGTGTCTCCCAAGCCTGGTGTTTCCCTGGGCGTCCCAGCCACTCTCACAGGGGCTTACCCTGCTGCTCCTCTTCTTGGCTCTGTGGCTGCTGCAGCACCCAAGACTGGGGCCAGGGGTCTGGCCTGGGCCCCAGGGCCCTGAAGCTGCTCAGCTTGCAGGGAAGGGATGCACCATGCCAAGACAAGACCAAGTCTTCTCCTCACCAAAGAAGGGTGATGGGAAGATGGTGTTCTGGGGGCCCCAGCAAGGGAGGGAGTCAGGGCTGCCTCTTGGGGAACTGGCCCCACCGGCAGGCCGGAGAGAACTGAGCTTTGTGGACACTGGGGACCAGTGTCTCTTCTCTATCTCTGAGTCTCACACACACACCCCCTTTCACACTCTCTCACACATCCCTCTTTCATGCTGCCTCTCTGGCTTCTCCTGATTTCCCTCCCTCTGTTTTCCTGGTTCTTGCTTCTCCCTTGCCGGGCTCTGGCTCTTCCACTGAGAATCATTCATTCACTCTCATGTGCATGTCTCACCCTCACTGCTGCCCAGCGCGTGCACATACACACATGCCTACAGCTCAGGGACACAGTTTCCTACACACTCCCTCTCACACACACTCAGTGTCCCTGTCACTACACTCGCGTGCACACCTGCACACCCACACACCTAGAGAGCTACTCATCTCTGGGTCCACATCCCAGCTCTTACTTAGCTGCTGAGGACAGGGTAATGCTGTGGATGCTGTCTCCTCTTGTGACCACCCCTCATTCATCTCAATGCCTGCTCCTCATGGGGGACTGCTGGCGCCATCTCTCACATATGTGTGAACACAAACACACACCTCTCACAGGGCATAGAGAGTATCAGCTTGGGCTGCCCTCCCACAGTCAGGTGTGTGAGGTGAGGGGTGTGTCTTGTATGCTGTCTGTATGTGTGTGCTCCATTCATCCATAGTCATGGGGTATCTATTATTCCTGGTGCTTGAGATGCCTGGCCCTAGTCCACAGCTTACTTCCAGCACTGTGTGCGTGTCGGTTTCCATCCTTGTGACCACTGCCCAGTGCATATGCAAATGTGTGGCATCAACATGGTGCCCAGATGCCAGCCCCAGAGATGGGGGACTTCCCCTCCTTATGACCCAGGTTCTCATTAACTGCCTCAGTCTCACCAGGAAACACACTACCACTAGGTTCCTGGCCCCCACTATGCCTGCAGTCTCGGGGTCCGCCTGCCATGGTATGGGGGAGTCGGGTAGAAATAGAGGAAGTAATGAAGGAGGAGAGGACTGTGTTGTGAGAGGATTTGAGAGCCACTGGGTGCTTGTCCGGTTATACATCTCCTCTTCTAGGCAAGATCACCACTCCCGAAGCCAGGGCTGCGATAGTCCCCAAGGAGGTGGAGTACAGAGGGCGAGCGTGGCCTCTGGATCCATGCGGCTCCTCTGTCTGGGATCCTCGCCCCTCTGAGCTGAGAGTGACAGAGCCCAGTCTCAGCAGTTGCTGGGGCAGAAATCAATGGGGGCTTTGTGTCCCTGAGCTACAGAGCTTGCTTCTCAGGCCCTGGTTGGGGGTGGAAAGGGAAGGGAAAGTGTGAGGAAAGCTCAGTGTGGGGAGGGGAGAAAGAAATGGAGAGGGCAAAAAGGAAGGTGAGAGAGGCAGGGGTTTCCCTTCTGCTCCAGGAGAAGAGGAGGTGCCTGGAGGCTCTGGGAACAGGGAGTCTCTCTGAATCTTGGGGATAGCAGGGTGTGGGAGGGTAGACCTCCCACAGACCCTTCTATCTGTACAGCTGGAGAGAGGACAGTAGGTCTCAAGACTGAGGCTGAGGGGCAGAGGGGCAAAGCAAGCACTGAGGGACAGCAGTTCCCTTTTGGACCCTGTTTCCCCTGTATCTCACCCAGCCTGGACCCCATACCCTCTGCCCACATCCCGCGTGCTGAGTGTCACTCTCTTGAGCCTGGCATTCTAGGGCTGAGTCTGTGCAGATTCCCCAAGGCCTGGGATTATGGGTTGGGATAGGGGTACATGGCACTAGGGAAGACAGGAGTGTGTAATGGGGCAAGATTGAAGAAGGGGTATAGAGACGGAGACGTGGGCTCTCTGGCGGGAACATGAGGGCCAAAACAGACTCTGCAGTGAGAACATGGAGAGCACGATGGGGACCTGGGAGCTCTGGAGGGGAGATGGGTACAGGGACCAGTTGGAGGGTGACCTGCCAGAGCATGGTGGTGAGATGGTGGGTGACAGGGACAGGCTTTGTGTAAGGGGCTGTAAGTGTTTTCTGTTGCTTTCCCTGTTTCCTCCTTCCCACTCCCCACTCTGCTGTGACCTTTCCTCTGGAATCCAAGTTAATAAATGTCACATTTTCCAGCCTATTTTTACTCTGGGTAATGCACCCTCCCCCAGTCCCCTAAGCTGCTGTTCTTGCTTCTGTTACCACCGCAATCGCTCTTACCCCCACGCCCCATAATATCCCTCACTGACTCCTAATAGTCACCCACTCACTCAATCAACATGGCATGCTGAATGCCTACTATGTGCCAGGCTTCCCGCAAGGTGGTGTGTGGGGAAAACGAAGAAGGCATGCCCAGGTGCCCAGTCCCTGTCCTCAGGCAGCCTACTGTCTCGTGGCTGGAGTGGGCATAGGGATACTCTAAAGCTTAACCAAAGATGCAAGAGTTAACCAGCCATACAAGCACTGTCATGAGGTGCCAGGATTAATTGCCAAACGAGGTGCATGGCTAGTAAGAGCCTGAGCTTAGAGCAAGGCCACTCTGGGCTGAAGGAGGCTGGAGAGGCTTAAGGGATGAGGCAGGCAGGTGGGCAAGGTTTGGAGAATGGAGAGGAGGGAAGGAGGGAGAGAGAAGAGAGGGGCTCCTGGGTGGTGGGAATGCTGGCCCCATCTCTTCTCCTCTTGCTCTCCCCACAAAACTCATCTCATACCAACCCACGCCCCCTCCACATCCTGCTTCAACAACACCTGTATGTTCTCTGCCTTCCTCCCCAATTGCTACCACCATCAGCTGCCCCCACCCCAGTGCGCTGGGCCTCACACTTTCCCCCCTGCGGCTTGCTCTCAGCCTGCCCCCTTACTAAAAGGCAGAAATCACTCTTTCTCCCTAGGCTTCATTTCTTTAGCTATAAAATGCAAGGGTGGCTCTAAAATTCAGCATCTCCTCTCAGCTGGGGACTGTATGGTGCAGCGGTCAAGTGTGTGGGTCCTGGAGCCAGACCTCTGGATTCGAACCTTGGCTCTACCCTTTAAGCTGTATATCCTTGGAGAAGTCAAAAAAGCTTCTGTGAAAATTAGTTTCTGTATTCACTGAATCAAACATCAGAACCTAAAAAATTCAGGTGGTTATGAAGATTAGAGATAGCTGCAAAGAGCTTAGCACACTGCCCAGCATGCACACAGTGTGTACTCTGGAAGTGTCAGCTGTCATAAATGCCACCACCCCACCTCCTGCCTCTCTTACCTGACTGTCCCCAGTACCACCTGCTGTTTTCTGACCCATGTGCCGGCATCTTCTCTGCTCCCCATCACCTAGCCTTCCCCTCCTCTTGACCCTCTGGCCCTCCCCCTCCCCTCCCCTATTACAGCATTCCTGTGCTATCCAACCCTCCCAAATGTTCATCATGCGTGCATATATGCAGGAGTGTGCACACACACAGTAGAGATCAGTGCTCCCACAGAACATTCTGTGATGATGGACGTGTTCTGTATCTGTACTGTCCAACATGGCAGTCACTAGCCACACTGGCTATTGAACCTCTGAAATGTGATTGGTAAGACAGAGAAAATGATTGTTCCATTCAAATAGCTACACATGACTAGTGGCTGCTGCACTGGACAGTGCGGCTCCAGGTGGTCACAGAACAAGGTTCTGACTGCCAGATTAGACAGGGCTAGGAATTACAACTGGGAGCAAAGGATACAAGCTGATGGTTGTGGGCTATGACTGGAAGTCCAGCCACCTAATCTCTGGGCTGAGGCCCCAGGTTGAGGTGAGGATAGGGCTTGTGTCTGGGGACATCAAGGTGTCTGAAAACACCATATGAGCAGATTCACCTTTCTTCCACATACAGGACATGACCTTGGTCTTTTCCAGTCCATTGTTGGGAAGACTGAGGCATGGGGGAAGGGGAGAATCCTTGAGGAGTCAGGGTCAGGACCCAGCCCCACTCTGTAGGGTTCTCAGGGGTCCAGGCAGCCCCTAGGGGGGCAGGTAACCAGGGACCTGTGGGTGCTTCACTGTCTCCATCTCTCGGCTCTCAGACTTCCCTCCCCTCCCAGCCCTCCTTCCCCACACACTGGTGACTGCCGTGACTATTAATCACTCGCCCTCTTCTCTTCCTCTCTACTAATCAGGCACAATTAGACAAGGCCTCTTCCAGCTGGGCAGTGCCCCTCCCTGCCCTCCTCCTTCCTCCCCCCGCCCCACCCCAGCTGCCATCCAGGACAGCTCTGACGCAAGGCGAGCTGCAGGCGAGCCTTCTCACCCTCTCTGGCTTCCCCAGCCTCCGAGGCCCCTCAGCAACAGCCTGCCTTCCTTCCAAGCTTCCTCCCGAGCCCACCCCCTTCCCTGGTGGGGTCCGGCCAGTACTGGTAATCTCTACTACCTTGTTGGTTGGGGGAGGTGCTACTCCACAAACACCCCAACTCTCTGTCCTTGCCTCTGCAGGATCCTGCCTCTTGCCCCCTAGACACAGGAAGGGAGGAGTTCCCACTGAGGCTGGTCGGCTGGTCCAGGCCTCTTATCTATCAGATGAACGTATCTCTGACCCGTCCAACCCCCTGTCCCCTCTGGTCCCATCTTCTCAAGGCATAAAACTTGGGAACATTTAGTTCAGTATCTAGTTCAGGGGTGGTCCTGCCTTAGGAGCAAGC